AACGTCAACCCAGGGATCCCTATCGTGACAACTTGGTCAATCGCAGGTCAGGAAAAATATGCAAAAATATATAAAAAGGGAAAATCAAATATTGTAAAACATAAAATTTCAGCAAAAACCAAAGAAAAACAATGTAAACGTTTTACTTTTCGTTGATTGTATGTTGTTTCTTTTCCAACAATAATTAGTATGAAAATCTATTGAAGCAAAAACAAAACAAAAACTTAGTTGTTAATGATGTGCTAATTAGTGCTTTAATAGAACGAATTTTTTTAAAATATTTGTTGTAGTTATCAATTCAATGTATGTACACAAACCTACAACCCTAATATACCATGGACCCAGTCAAAATACCACAAAAACACTCGTGTCATACAAATAACCATTTCAATAAACACACACACTATACAACTACAATACATTGTCATACCAGGCTTCATTGAGTCTGAAATATCGATTGGTGAATTTAAATTCGATTTAGATGTTCATTAACCAATTTAAATGTCGCTTAGTATCATATCAACAGATGGAATTTAACTGCCTAGTTTGGCATCAATTGACGTCTATTTGCAAAGACATATATTTTGTTGATATTTTTAGCGTACACGGTCATTCGATGAACTTATCTTTACGAGACGTTCATTCGATGAACATGGATTTATCGCTCACGATTTTTAAATAGTTATAGACGAGCCACTATTTATTTTTATCGCTCACGATTTTTAAATAGTTATAGACGAGCCACTATTTACATAATTTATTTTTATAAAGTGATTTGATATTTTTACATATCGAAACTTAGTCTCCTTGACGGCATTTCATCTACTTTTTCCAAACCGTGCTCTCTCACTGGCTGTATATACCAACATATTAGCTCCAATTCACAGCATTGGTTCTCAACCTCAAAAATCCATAGTTAATCACACAAATGACACATAACACACGCATTTCATTTATATTTACACTTTTATACCAAATTTAATAAATTCTTTAAAGAAATTTTAAAATTTTTATAACTGTTTACTTAAATTTCTTTATGTATTTTTTTCTAATTGTGAGTTAAGTACATTTTTCATATTTTTGAATGCGTAATCAAAACATAACATTCTATGTTCTATGTTTTTTCACCATACTCTGAATTGCATAAATTGGTTGGACTTGATTGAGTCTCTTTTAAGATCGAATTCATAAACTTATTCAACATACATTTACACAAACGTTTTCATATTCTCAAACAATACATTTCGCAAAATTTGTTTTAATGTATTTTCTCAAATTCGTCGTTACATACTTCCATATAAATTTGTACGTACAACAAAGCTATTGATTGCAAAATCTACAGCTGCTGGGATGCCAGTGTGGAGAAATAAAAATATATCATTAAAAAAATTAATCAAATCAAAAAATTCCAAAAATTACATTATTTTAAAGTTTAATTTAAATATTTATTAAACGCAGAAAATATTATTAAAAAATGTTAGAATGATAGTTGAATATAAATATATTTAAAAGAATGAGTTCGTTACTTTTTCCAATAAAATTTGATAATTTGCAGCAAAATTTGTTTGTCTACAATAATACTGCAGTTGATATCCATTGATATCACGCATATTGCCGGTATTCGTTAAAATCTTCTTCATAACCACACTTGCATTCTCTCAGCCCACTTCAGAAAACGTTTGTGATCACAACAAAGTTAACGCCGTTTCCTTTTTAGCTTTGATTAGTGAATTTCACACGCATTAGTGCTTACTTAGTTGGCAAAATAAAGCAGTAATTGAATACATAGTATTAACATACATATAGATAAATATATATGCTACATAGAACCCAAAGTTTATACAAATTATTCTGCGAACATAACTTAATAACCAGCGTAGTCACGCACATGTATTACCGACATAAACGCATACATATGTACTTAGTGCTTCGTTCGGCTTAGAAATACCGCTACAAAGCTGCATTTAAAACTAGAAGGTCTGGCTTAAATTAGTTAAACGCATAGCACAAGCAAGGGGTTGTCATCTTGTCTTCGTCCTACTTGTGTACATTTATTATACTCGAGGTGTATTGTTTTATGTACTTTTGTTTACTGTTTAACAATGAGTACTTATATTAGATAAATATTTATATTGATTACTTACGCAAAAAAAAAAAATAAGGAAAGGTCTAAAAATTAAAATGTATTCCCAATTAAATAATATCTTCGAAAAAGACTGAAATATAATATATTCGTATAATTCTTGAAAATCGTACCGAATACCAACTTCTGAGCTGGTTAATGGTGCTCCCAATATTCTATTGAAATTTTGAAAACTGGAAAAAGCTTTTAAATATTCAAGCTGTGCCAATTATCATATACAAAACATGAAAAAAAACTATATTGGAAATTCAGTAAATTTTCACTTTACACAATTTTTTTTTTAATAAATTTTGTCTTCAAGCCATAAATGTGTATCTTCCTGTGTGAAAATGTTGATTCTCATTGAATTTACTGCTCTTGTATTGTCGCTAAACTCTCTATTTATGGGTTTCGCTCTTATTTGAATAAGTTTAGTCCTATCGACGACCATCTAACTGTACTCTGTATACTATCTACTACATTCTCTTGTCGTTAAAGCTTTTATCATTTCATTTTTCGTTTAGACATCTGTCAAATGTTTCAATTGCTTTCACAAGTTACTACAATGCTTTATACCACTTACTCGCTTTTATTCATAAACATGTATGTATGTGCGCTATTGCATGCCTTTTCATTATTATTTTTGTAAATTTTAATTTATTTTTGCCTGTATACTTGTAAGTAGTATTTAAATAAATGTAAAAATAATTTGTATGTTTATTTAATACTCGTATTTTAGTTGTAACTTTCTGTTTGATCTGACTTGTTGTTGGTTTTATGCTATGCTTAGTTTAGTTTAGTTTGATTGACTTTGAGTACACTAAACAACAACAAAAAAGTGCTTTGCTTTTCTCACAAAAAACAAAAGCATAAGAAATTACACTAAACTGCCTCTCGCACGCACTTTTGCATACTGTCACACAAACACTAGCACTTTGCTTGTGCGAGCTTAATTAGCTCGTTCTCATCACGCCTATAATCAACTAAAGCGAATTTTTTAATATACTGCCGCCGTCACTTATTGCTTTTCGTAGTGTTGAAATGCTGTAAAAAATATTTTGAAAACAAAAATCCGACTTTTCACTTAATTATTATTTTTTTATTTCAAAACTATTTTTATTTTCCTTTTTAAAAAACTAAGCAGTATAAATAAATATTAAAAAAAAAAATTCAATTATTAACAAAAATTTACTAACTTTGCACATCTTAACGTATAGTTTATGGAAAGTTAACCCGCTCCGCCATGCTTGTAATTAACTAAGTAAAATAAACACTCGCAAACCCAGCTAAAAAAAAAAAAATCCTTTTTAACAAATTAAAACTTAATTTATGTACACACATATATATGTATATATTTATATATGTACATATATAGTTTTAATATTTTGTACATAAATTTTGTAGTAAAGTATGCTAAGTTTTATATGGAAAAGTAAGCCAACTGCTGTTTGAGGTTATGTTGAAAGTATCAAAAATTTCAAATTACAAGATTATTATATTTTTTCTAAGATTTTCATTTTAAAATTGTCAGTTCTATATTTTCTAAGGTTTTCATTATGAAATTAATAGATTGTTCAAGAAAAAAAAGCCCCAAATAGTATTATTTTTAAATTAAATTGAGTTATTAAAATTGAAATTAAAACAAAAATAATGATTGATTTAAATGTGAATAAAAGTTGATATGTTTACTGTAATAGTTTCATGTATCAAATATATATACTGCAAATATTTAAACTGCTTATTAATGTTTTACCTGAATCTATTGTAATAAATCTTAATCTATAAATATTAATAAATAATTTTGAAAACCGGTTTTCAATACAATTTTATGAAATTTGATAATCAAATATTTCAGTTTTCTTATCAAAAAAAAAAAATAATATAAAATTTATCTAAAATATTAAATCTTTACGTAAAATAATTTTGTTTCAAAATGACTAAATTTTTGAAAAAAAAACTACAAAAAAGGTTTCTATAAAAACTGAATTCTTAAAGTTCTTTTTATTAATCATTACAATTTGGAAATTATGTATAAATATATTAACGGTTTTTACATAAAATACTTTTTATTCAATATTACTAAATTTTTGAAAAATACTATAAAAAAACGCTTTGTTTTAATTAATTTTTTGGACTAATAAATAATTCTTATATTTTATTAATTTGATTTAAAAATTTAATCTTTACAAATAAATTGACAGGTTTTAACTTTTATCGTGTGTTATTATAAGTTCGAAAGATAGTTTAAAAACTTCTAAACAGTAAAAAAATTTATTTTGATGTAATGGAAAAGATGAATTCTGGGTTATAATTTTTATTATTAAAAGTAATAGGTAGTAAAAAAGGTTTTTAATAATTTATAAACCTAAAACATAGAATTTGATAAAAAATTAGTTTAGTTAAAAATTAAAATTCGAAATTTCAGATGCAAAGTTAAAAACTAAAATAAAAATATTTTATAGAATAATATAAATATAGAAAAAATTAATAATATAAAAATTAATAAACTTTAATTTTATGATGAATATTCAACAACATTGAGAAATGAATCAAAAAAGACTAAAAAAAAATTGTTTATTAAAAAGTATAATATGCCTTTGTTTACACAATTTATATATTTTCTATAAAATAAAGTTATAAAAATCAAAAATTAATATTGTTAACTTTTTCAATAAGAAGAAGATTTATACTCAAGCAGTTGGCTTTTGTTTTCACAAAAAAATTAAGCCGTAGTTAGTTCTAATCAACAAAAAATCCCACTTTCCCCCAAAACAAAAATAATTCAACATTTACAATTGAAAACAAAATCATTTTATTTAATTTAATGAAACTAATCTATTATTTTTCGCAATCGCAATTAAAATATCAAATAAATTAGATTGATTTCGATGGCCTATGGTCAAATTGGTATGATCCAAGCTGCTGCCGGTTTCTTCGTGTACTTCGTCATTATGGCTGAAAACGGTTTCTTGCCGATGAAATTGTTCGGCATACGTAAGATGTGGGACTCAAAGGCTGTCAACGATTTAACCGATTCATACGGACAAGAATGGGTGAGTGCTGCAATGATCAAGGAAACCTTAAAGTATTGATATTTTAATAGTAAATTTTATGATATTTTACAATAAATCCGCGTTTTTAATAATAAAGCTTTCTTATTTTTAATAATTTATATTTTATTGAGAATGAAACTAATAACCCCACAATAGTAGTGCAATATTTTCTTAAGCAATTTTATTAACGAAAATTGCGAACTTTCTTATTTTAGACCTACCGCGATCGCAAGACACTCGAGTACACTTGCCACACCGCTTTCTTCGTATCAATTGTTGTTGTACAATGGGCGGATTTGATCATCTGTAAGACACGACGAAACTCCGTCTTCCAGCAGGGCATGCGAAATTGGGCATTGAACTTCGGTTTGGTGTTCGAGACAGTGTTGGCGGCCTTCCTGTCGTACTGCCCCGGCATGGACAAGGGTCTGCGCATGTATCCACTGAAGTGAGTACCCAACAACAATAACAACATCGAAAAATATGTGAAATAATTATTGAAAAAAAATGTTTTCTTCACTTTCAGATTCGTTTGGTGGTTACCAGCCATTCCATTTATGTTGGCCATTTTCATCTATGATGAAATTCGTCGATTCTACTTGCGCCGCAATCCTGGCGGTTGGTTGGAACAGGAGACGTACTATTAAGCAGCATTATGTTCAATACACAACAACAACAGCAACATAATAGCAAACGCATTTGTAAACATAGCATGTACTACGACAACAGCAACAATAGCAACAACAATAACAGCAAATGCGAAATCATCATATTTGAATTTTACGAAACAAGTGCGAAGAGTAATGAGCGCGCAGTGGTCGCGATGGCAGCATAACATAAGCAACATCTACAACAACAACGACGATGGCAGCAGCAACAATTAGAGAAAATGTTGTATGCTGTTACTGATAGATCTGCCGTAATTGTGCAAAAGTAGCAACAATTGCAACAACAAATATAATATAGAAATGCATGCAAGCAGCGAATATATAAAGCGACCATCATCACCACCACCACCACAACAACAACAACAAGCAGAATTATTTTTTTAATTTTAATTATTTAATAATAAAAAAGATAATTATTTAAACGATTAAGTAAAGTTAAATTATAAATTAAATAATGGTAATAATATGAAACAAAAAAAAATAAAATAAAAAAAAATATTTAAATAAAAAAGCAAACAAAAAAAGTAAAACGAAAACCCAGCCACACATTACACAATAAATAGTAGTTGTTTTTTGTAAGAAACTCTTGACGAGCAGCCTCTTAGCAAGGAAATTAACCCAAAAACAAAAGCAAACTCCAAAAAACAAAGTGAGAGAAACAACTCGCTACAACAAAACGTTCCGTAGTCATGTGACTAGCAGTGAGTGCTTGACGAGAGTGACCGAAAATCTAGATGTGTCTGTTGTTAGTTAGTCGACGGTTAGTAGGCGCAGACAGTTGGAGTTTTTGAAGAAAGCACTTTCAGTTTCGGTCATATATTTCTAGAGACGCTTAACGACCGCAAATCCGTTAGCTAAGTGAATTCTAAAACAATTTGATAAACAAGAAAAACTTAGTTGAATTTTTTCAGAATTTAAATATGTAGGAAGTATAGGAAAAGAGATAAATAGATAATTATATAACTACAGAAACATATGACAAAAACTAAACGATAGCTAAAAAATAAATAAGCATTAATACAAAATTATAAAAAAGATTAATAAAGAAGTGGCATGCAAGTAAGTGTTTATGTATATACATATATCCTTGATAATAACGCAAGCAAAAGCAGTAAGAAATCTTTATTAACGCAATTCACTACCACTAGCAAAATAAATGGAAATCAAATACACCACCTTAGAAGCTACACAGTAAACAAAACTATGCCCCAACAAACCCAACGCTGGTGTAAGAAATTAGATGACAAAAAACAAAATGCATTAAGAGAGGTACCATAATTTTTGTTTTTGTTTTTAAAGCAGTTAAAGTGTGGAAGCTGCTGAAAAATATTTATAAATATTTGTGTAAAGAAATATATATGCATATAGAGGAGTATACACACAACACAACACATAAGCACACAAACACTCGATTGGTTAAAAATAAGGTCTGAAACCGTACTGGCGGTGCATGGAAACTCTCACCAAAACTGGCAACACTTTAAAAGCTGCGTAGGAAACTAAAACTAATTTGTGGTTGGAAACTAAGTATATAAAATGAAATTCATACTCTTAAAAAACATGTAAACTGCCACTGCTCTTGTGTGCACACACACACACACCATTTAAAAACCAGTATTTTTGGTCGAATTGTTGTGCATACAAACACACATACACACGTCCACACAAACTTATACATAAACAAACTAAAACAAACAAAAAAAAAAACGCTGGCATTTCTTAAAAACGCTCTTTTCCAAATTTGTTAAACTATTTGCGTAACTCGCCGAAACACATCCGCACGCCCTCCTCCAACTCCGCCTCCTGCATTGGCCGTATCACTTGCTCTGGCGGCAAGTTTCAGGCAGCAACGCGTTTATTGTTGATTGTTGTTTTTGTAAAGTCCCCCACATTCTCCTCCCCCTCTGTTGTTTGTCCCGCTGTAGTTGTCCTAATTTTTAAGAAACTAATAAATAAATAAGAAAATATGAAAAAATGCAAAAACAAAAACAATGGAAAAACTAAAATGTGAAGATGAAAGTTAAAGTAAAAACTTTGAAGAGACGTAAAATAATTAATTTGTTAATCTATTTGCCTTTTTATTGAGAAATTAGAATTTATAATTAAAATATAAAAAAATGTGTGTGAAAAAACAAAGAAACAAATGCAAAATGTGAACGATTAAGCAGTTAGTATGCGTTAGACAAAATGTAAGCAAGCAGCAGAAGAAGCAGTAAAAACTGAAAGTGCAGTAAATTGCAGAGAAAGGATAACAACAATAACTTTGTAGTGAATAATACTATATTAAATAAATTAAATGCAATTTTAGTGCATGTCTCTTAACGCTCTTAAACGCTTCACAACAGCTGCACGCACACACACACACACACACACACACACACACACACACACACACAAGTACACGCTGCCTAGCGCGTCTGTTAGGCGCGGCTTCGGGCCACGTGTGGTTTTGAGCCAACTGTATATGTATGTAGTAAGGCTGTAGGACATGCGTGCATATAATTTCGTAATAATGCAATTGTGTATGAAATGAAGCAGAGAAAATTTAATAAACAAAAATATGTATGCATAAATAAATTATCGAATGCATGAAAATATATATAATTGAGGCAAGCAGAAAGAGAATATTTCGTAAAAGTGTTCATATATAATACAAAACAAGAAAGAAAAATAAAACAAAACATTTAAGTATTTAAAAACCACAAAAAAATAAATTACAAAACAAATAAATTACAAAAAAACATATTAAATTTTTTTCTTTTCGCTGAAGTATATTTGCATTAAACACTCTGTTAGCCGTACCATATGTAATGAAAAGCAAATCTTCTATGATCTACAACGCGTTGCCTGTATGACTATCACTTTCGTTGTGCATTAATTCATAAATTCGTTATAGCAATTTAATTGTAGCTGAGTTTACACATACAACTAAAAGTAAATTAATTGATAATGATTAAATTTAATTTACGAAAAAATACTAAATTTGTACTTGTAGCATGAGCTGTGCGCACATTTTTAGCCACAACATCGGGTCGCTGTAGCATACTTTTAGGCTCACAAGCGGGCAGCAGCTACACATAGACACAGCGCATGCATTGCGCTCTGTGTATGTGTGTGTTTGTATATGTATACGCATGCTCAACTGTTGTCATGCTTAGCATTGTTTGTCGCGCACCTTTCCATGATGGTGTAGAGTTTTTAAATCGTATCGAATTGAATTGAATTGCAAACGTGACAAATGGCAATTTGTAATTTATCACCACATACAAGAGAATTCTGTTTTCTTAAAGCAAATAATTATGAATAACTAGTTTGGTATAAGCTTTCGTTTTTCATTTCGTTTAATTGTATCGCCCTCCGCTGTAAATGTATTTGTAGATTTAATTAAAATTTAAAATTAATACAACAAGAAAAACAATAAATAAAGCATATAAAAATAATAAAACACACAAAAAAAAACAAATTTGTGTTTTATTTTGCATGAAGATGCGAATCGGAGGAAGTAATTAAAGTGGTTTGTAAAGTTGTTACTATAAATGTTTATCAAAAATTAAATCAACGGTATGTGTGTATATATGTAAAGGGTTTACTAAGAAGAGTGGTATGATTTTTTTTCAAAAACAAACACAATAATTTTTAAGGAAATTCAAATGTTTTTAATTTAATGTGCCGTACAATCGAAACAAATTAGTTCTGACTATAACATTGTTCAAATAGCATCCACGACTTCTTTTGCAGCAACGAATTTGATGAACCCAATTTTCGAGTACTTTTTCCACTAAATCAAGTCGTATGTCATGAATAGCACGTTCAATATTGACTTCTAAAGCTTGAAGGGAGTCTGGTTTATTGTTAAAGAACAATGACTTCAAATAACCACACAAAAAGTTGGATTGGTTATCACCGATCTATATCGCTCTCTATTGACAGTAACGATGTCACCAGATGCATTTCGAAAGAAGTACAGACCGAAGATTCCACCAGAACAAAAATCACACAAACTGTCAATTTAAGTGAATGTAATGGTTGTTCATGAATAATTTGTGGATTATCTTCGCACCAGAATCGACAGTTTTGTTTATTTACCAAACCATTCAGATGGTCATAAAATGGCAAATGCGCACGAAAAGTTGCAATTGGAGAACGATTATTTTGATAATAAAATTGAATAATTTGTAAACCTTTTTTTTGCGTATATCTTTCCACGATAAATTGTCAACATTAATGGATACAATGAAAAAATTAAAGATCATGATATATTTAAAATGGCCGAAATGACGCTTAGAAATCACATCATCTCTATTGGAAAACCCGATATATATAGAATATCCTTTAACCCTAAATATGAAATATATGTTATGATCGAACGATCTTGATAACGTATTAAGAAATATTAATGCAGATTTTCATGATCGCTTCAATGCACCATTTTTATTGCAATCGACTCCAGAACCAAGTTGATCAGATCAGTTCCAACAACAGCCGGTTCTATATTACCGGAAATGGCCCTGAGCAAGGGCTTTTATTTCGGCTTTCCATCCCTGTTTGGATCGGTATGTAGTAAATAGTTGTAGCAGGTTAGCATATAGGTCCGATATTTTTAGATGACTGACTTTCAAAACATAAAATTGTTTACCAAATTTCATGTGACTTTCTCTAAAGCAATTTGTTACATGAGAGAGACGGCTGCACCTATAATGGTTTCTGTAATTTTTACTTTTAAATATTGTAAACAAAATATAAAGAAACTAACTTTCAGCGAAACGGAACATAAAGAGATTAGGGCTGTCTGGAAAAATGACCTAACTCCGATAATTTATCCTGATAGTTCGCCTCTTCAGGCTTTCAGGAAATCGTTGAGTCCAAACATCGATTACCATTTTCCAAGATTTAAATATTGCACAAAAAACCGTTTGGAACCATTTGAATAAGGCTGGATACGATGGACTACACCTGATATGTAATTGAGTGTACAAAAAATTCTCTGTATTCAATTCTCCTAGCGTCTATGAACGCGAATGAAACGATCTCATACCTATCTTGTTATGTTTATCATTATATATAGGGTAGGGGTATCATGGGTGAATGAACAAGAGGTACGTACTAAGATTTATGAAGAGATTTCAACTATTTAAGCGAAGTTCTAAGCAGAAATTGAGTATGCTAGCTTCACTGTAGCTGGATACCCATAGTAACTACCGCACCCCACTTACACCCACCCCCCCATATATTTAGTTAAGTGCATAAAATCCAAGAAATGCGCTAGTCAGGCCATGTCAACCGCGTGGAAGATGAGACTGCAGTAAAAAGCTCCTTTGATTCGAGACCTTTGGGTGAACAACGGAGCAAGGGCGCAAAGGTCTGTCTGCTTGTTTGTATTAGCATAGCAAGATGTCAACACTAGGGTATTCTTCTTTGGATATAAGTCAGTTCCACAATGTAAACAAGTAATTTGAGCCAAAACTATAACTATATTGAAATGCGCGAGCAAACCATACCAACTGTATGTATGTCAAATACGAGTGAGTCTTTTATTGTACCGTGTATTTTGAATCTTTGGTAGTATTTTAGAAATTTATTTGTGGCATGTTTTCTACCGACACAACAACAACAAATAAAACAAAGTCAGCGAGACGATATGCATCCACTCTACTCTTTCCAAAACGGGAGAATCAACTGAGCTACTGGCATAGTCTTAATTACGAAGCAAAACAGCATTTTTCAAATTTTCTTTAATAATTACTCGGAGACAAATATGTAATCCGATCTCTATAAAATTTTTTCTGCATTTTTCCCCATAAAATTAAGTACCACCTTTTTGATCTGATCAGAAATCAAATTTGGGTTATATTAAACTTTTTTAAAGCGCCAACACATGAGTTTGTTAATTTTGATTTTTTTCGACTCTAGGTCAAAATACGAATATAAATGAGATTCTTTTTAGGTTTCATCCTCGAAGAAAGCCAGAGTCACTATTTTTTTTATACTAAAATTTTTTTTTTAATTTTACGGTATATTCTGAAATTTTGCACTTATATAAATATAAACTTAAAATTATAAGACTATGAATACTAAAGCGTTTTTTTTTAATTCCCAAAAAACATCTTTTTGGCTGCCACACAAGTTGCGCTCCTTAACTTTCTGTGATGTTATTGAGTTACTTAAAAGATTAGCGATTAAAGATTCAGCGATAGATTTGGATCCTTTGGGTTGAAAGATATAAAGAAGTAATGGAACAAAATGCTGAAAGAGTCTTAATTTAGACCTCCTTTAGTAATTTATATCCACCGTTGTCGGGAACTAACTACTTCAATGGAAGAAGCAGACGGTTTTTGTTTTAAGTATCGTCAGCAAACTTTAAACTACGGTTATACTATTATACATAAAAATTTTTGTAATATTTTATTATTCTAGTGCAACCTCTAAATGCCACTTTTAATTAGTTTATATTTATGAGTTGTGTAATAACAATTAATTACAGCGAGTCAAGTGTTTAAAGAAGCTCCACGCACCCATATATACACACGTATAAACACACGTATGCATGTGCATGTCATAATGAAAATTAAAGCGTAAATATTTAGCACAATGTCATTTATAAAATATTATCTACTTTCTTATGCATTAATCTTCAAGTGCGCACTTCAAAAATGAAATCAAAAGCGGCTGGAAATAAACGATAGTGAAGAAA